ATTTTGTTGCACGTGATTTTGAAGTTGTCGGTCATAATTTTGTTGTTGGAATTGTTGGCCGAGATTTTGAATTGGTTGCTGAAGTCGCTGCTGTTGAATAAGTTGCTGGACGGAATGTTCAAATTCTCCATTATCATAATAATTTTGTTGGCGTTGGGATTGTTGAGATAGTTGTTCACCAATAGTTTGTTGTTGTTGAAACATTTTTTGTTTATATATGTGAATGTGTGTGCAGTGTTTTATTTAAAAAAAAAATAAGAAAATTTTTGATAAATATCGAACTGTCAGCATTTTTATATATTTATTTTTTTTTATCGTATCAGATCTTTATGTGTAACGTATTTTAATAAAATGAAATGACCATTTGTAGTATACGTATATTATAACATTAATGTAGTAAGGTGATCGTCATTGTGGCCTTTAAAATCATTGAATATTTTTGAATATTTTATCGTTGTTGTTGTTGTTGTTTTGATCTGTCAAGTTCGCTTGGTCGCATTTAGTTCTATTAAGAGATAAATAGAGAGAGAGATAACGCAAGAAAAAATAAATATTTGTTTCTACGTAAAATATTCATGTTGAATTATTTTAATTTCCACTTTATGGGGTATTTGTGCCCCGAAAAATGTTGTTTGTTGTCCCGTGTCGTTTGTACGGTGATTGTTGTTCTATTAAGCGATAAATAGGGTGATAAATGCAGGAAAAAATAAAGAATAATAAAAGGTTAGTTTTTGACGCTCAAAAGAAAATTCCATTAATTGTAATTTTGAATTTGACATTGTCATATATCAATGCACTCGGTGAATTAATGTGTATTTTAATCCAAAAGTTCTGGAATTATTCAAGACATGATGTATTTATTTATTTTACTATATATATATGAGAATACCGATCTCATTTCTTCTTGAAGCTCAATCTCAGTATGGAAAATTCTAAAGTGAGGGATTATACTTCTGGTTATTGTATCGATAATCTGAAAGCACCGCAAACTTTCCCTTTTTTAATCGAAAAGAAGAGTTTTAGTGATACATACTAGTAAAGTCATATTGCCTTCCATAACCTTTTCAACACAAATTAAACCACCTCTCATTGTGCCTGAAATTCATTTAGCCTCTTGAGGATCTAAGGATTCATTAGCTGTAACGCCAAAACTGCATTGCTCAAATAGCCATAAAGCCATAACTTTTTCATTACCACCACCACACGCCCGCATGTACATTGGGATGCCAAATATGCTTTTTGTAAGAGTTTCAAAAGCCTTGTTCTTTTTTTCTCACCGAGGTAAATTTCCTGCTATATATTAAATATGTTGTGCCAAGTGTTTTCCCAGTCTATTGTCCCTGATTTATTTATGTTCCAGGTTCTGTCAAATATGATTTTTTGACGATTCATTGTAAAGCCTCCTCACTTTATATTTAAATATGGAGATAAATAATAATATATAATACATAAATAAATAGGATTATTTGGACGCGATCGTGTAACCTTGACTTGCCAAATTTCGAAATAATCATCATATTTTTTTTTGATGTAGTTAATTAGTTGTATTGTTTAAATTTATGTTATCCATTATAAAAATTATAAGGGACAAAAATACATAAACAAAATAATTACTCTGATTATATCAGATTGGTTAGGACACCTTTTCTTTTCATGCAACTACTTTTCTTGTTGGAATCTGACGTTTACACATGATTTTTTTTTTTCAATGTAGTTAGTTGTATTAATTGATTAATTGATTAAATTTATATTATCAATTATAAAATTTATAAGAGGTGAAAATAAATGCCTGATTGATTGATTGTACGAACCATCTTTTCTTTTCATGTGGCTGTTAGTCCTTATCGGACCTGACATTTAATATTCACACATCAACAGACCGAGAAGACAGAAAAGGTTAATTAAACAAACAAAGGCTGAAAAAAATTTTTTTTTATGTAGTTTGTTGTATTATGTTGTTAATTTATATTATCAATTACATTTATAAAAGAGATAAAAATACAAACAATTAAATGTCTGGCGATTATAATTATAAGAATCGTCTTTTCTTTTCATGTAGTATTAGTCCTTATCCGAATCTAACATTTAATATTCACACTTCAAACAGACAGAAAGGGTTAATTTAAACAAGATTTTATAAATACTTTGAAAATAGAATCACATGGACTGTATGTATTGGTAATATAATTTTTATGTTTATTAACTAATATTTAATATACGCGATATTTTAAATCCGCCAATAATAATGTTAATAATGTTGAAATACGGTAATATGGCTTTCATAAACGATCTAGCAAAAATCATGTATGTAACATGTGCAGCAACCGTTACAATAATGATGGCGTAAAAATTATTTTTGAAAAATGACCGAGTTATTATAATAACTCTTATTTTAAGTTTAAAAACACAAAACCAGTTAATAATTAATTTAGTTTAAAAGATGACAGTACATAAGATTCAGCATGCTAACCAAATTTGATAATTATTGTTCCAAATCTGCCGAACTTGGTTAACACAGCACATTCAGCACGAATTCTATACACTGGCAAAATGGATTTTTTGGGCTAATAACTCTCACTCAGAGTGCAACAGTTAATAAGTGGTTATTAACCATCAATAATAACTTGGAGTTATTATTAGGTGTAGGGTTAAAAATTCCCGTAACTAGTCACAAGTTTGTAATCGGTTTTTGGTTAGTTGCTGATCTTTATATTTAAAATCAGATATTTGTCACTTTGAAAAATAAATCCTGGAAAAAATTTTGATAAATTTATTTATCAATACACAAAAAGGAAAAAATGTGGGCAGGAGATTATCAGGAATAATGACCAAAAATAGATAAATTTCCAAATGCGGTAATTTTGTCGATAAACCTTAATATCAAGATTTCTTTCTATTTTTTATTAATAATCTCTCCTAAAATCTGTATCTCCGATTTGGTGGAGATTGTTAAGCAAAAAAGGGTTAAAATTAAGGTTTGTGGCTAATTTTATTAATATTAATAGAATTTCGACGTTGATCACCAAAATTTCGGAAAATACACTTCCCAATCGTTTAATATTAATGTGACACATCGTTCGACTAATAGACTATCTGTTCTCTATCAAAAGTTCGGTATAATAAACCCACCTTTCTTCAAAATTCAAAAAAAAAATTTTTAATATGTTTTTTGGAGTTTTTTGCCATTTTCACTAAACTTTAATAAAAAACCATCCACATAATGCTATACCTATATGAAAACTTACAATATTTTACATCTTTTCAATCACTCACCAAGTTTATAAAGGTAATATTGGTAAAAAATCTTAGCTTTGGAATAAAAAGTAATGCTGTTTTTGAATAAACATAGCTTGATATAGAGAGCCTTTAACAATATGTGAGAGAGCTCGTTAAAAAGCTATAATGTCATAGTTTTATTTTTGATTAATAATGATGTTTGAATTTGTTATAAAAATAATGAGATATTTTTAAACACTGGTTTGTTACACGAGTCGAATTTTCTATTTATATATATGTAATTACTATTACTATTACACTTCCTGTGACATATCGTTTGACTGCTATACTAAAAATGGTCAAGTTTGTATTTTTCTACCGCATTATCATTCAATATTTTCGTTTATTTTTTTTTTTTTGCACCAATATGTGGTTATAACGAGGTTCGACTGCACAAGCTTTTCTTTTGTTACGCAACGCGACATATAAAATCAGTGTAATATTAGAACGATATTATTGTTCATTACAGTCTAACCTCGTCACAGCGGATTTCGTCACAGCGGATTTCTTGTCACAACGGATTTAAATATTTTCATTAATTAAAATATTTGAACGGATTTTATTAATAAACTTGCGTCACAGTGTTAGCGAATTTTTGATGGTAATCTCTCTATATGTCTACTAATCTCACCAAAGCGGATTCACGCGACATTTAAGATTATAAAATTATCCAAATTACTAAAAAAAATTTTCCACGAATTTAATAATTGGATTAATAAAATATAAACAAATAGATCAAGCAACAAGATTTCATGTTTCTAAAATAAAATTTTAAAAATAAAATAATAAACAATTAAATAGATTATTTGTTGTAGACATTAAGAGAATTGTTATTCGCACCTCCCATTTTTGTTATTCGCACCCCTCCCGTGACTAAGTGTAGTAAGCGGCCAATGAATGGCTTTAAAATGTGATGATTTTATTGGTTCATCTTTGTCTTAGTCACGGGAGGAGTGCGAATAACAATTCCCTAAAATAAATGGAATTATTTATCCTTTATCAAAGATTCATAATTTTCAAATGTATAAGTTAAGATTTATTAAAAAATAAAAAATAAAAAAAAATATACAATTAAAAAATGTCCAACAATCATCTTCCTCTAAAAAATGTGTATACATTACTGCAGAACAAAAAATACGATTTATGAAAAAAAAACTTGAACCAAAAAATATCAAACTAGCAAACCAGTTTGGAATCAGTACAAGTATTACCATTGATGATTTTCAAATAAATAACATGGTAACAAAAGAAGAAATAATTGCTTCTTTCAATCCAGCGAAGAAGGTATTGTCGTTGAGAATAACACTTTACCTAAAGTTTCAACGAAAGATGCAGTAAATGCTTTTGAGATGGCTTTTAATTTCCTTCAACAAAGTGATCTAGAAATAGATTATAAAGAATTTAAGGCTTTTAAATCATTGAAAAGAAAAGTGACACTATTAAATAATGAAAAAATAATACAACCAAATATTATAAATTATTTTAACAAATAGATTTTGTATTATTCATTTAAAATTTTTTTTGCAGATCATCAAATTCGTCATAGCGGATTTCTCGTCACAGCAGATTTTTTTGGTTGGTATCATAAATCCGCTGTGACGAGGTTAGACTGCAATGATAAAAAATATATACAGTATATAAAAATGCTAGCAGCTCGATATTTATCAAATTTTTTCATTTTTTTTTTTAATAAAACACTGCACACACACATATATAAACAAAAAATGTCTCAACAACAACAAACTCTTAGTGAACAACTACCTCAACAATCCCAACTTCAACAAACTTACTATGATAATGGAGAATTTGAACATTCCGTCCAGCAACTTATTCAACAGCGGCGACTTCAGCAACCAATTCAAAATCTCGGTCAACAACTCCAACAACAAAATTATGACCGACAACTTCAAAATCACGTGCAACAAAATCTTCAACAAATTAATAATCCAAACCAGCAAATGCTTCAAAAACAAATTCAAGAAACTCAGCAAACTCAAATTATTGATCATAGAATTATTGCATTTGACAATTTATTATCATTTCAAAAAATGATTAATGATAACACAATAATAACATGCTGGCAGCGCATTCTTTGCCACCACCACAATTAGTTTATGTTAATAGCAACCCAAATACATCATCTTTACTATCAATTAATAACGATATTAGTAATTTTCATTTTAATATCACGATTTAAATTTAAATGTCTCTTCATTCAATCCTAGAAACAACATTGAGGAGGATTCTTTAATTGCGGCCATTTCTCATCATATGTTAATTATTAAAGACTATAGGATGAAAATTAATCGACACCATTTCGAACTGGAACAAGTTGTAAATATATTAAGACACAGAGATAATAGTCGCGATTTAAATTTAAATTTTTCTTCATTTCAATTCTAGAAACAACAATGAGGATTCTTTAATTGCAGCCATTTTTCATCATATGTTAATTATTAAAGACTATTGATCAACATCATTTCGAATTAGAACAAATTGTGAATATGTTAAGACATTGAGATAGTTAAGGCGCAATAAATTGGAAGAAAAATTAAAATGGCACGCACAGAAAGGCTTAATAAGAATAAGTGTTATTATTGATATCTAATATCTGATATAAAAAAATTTATAACAATTGTCGTGCTCCTACCCATAATTTTTAGTGTGTAACCATTATTTCAATATTTTTCCACGGCCATGACATAATCAAAATTATTCATTATTATTATAGGGTTAGTTAAGACATAAGATAGGGCCCCATGTGGCTAGTGTGTGTAATGAAGAATAGATTGATTGCAAAGTAATTAACAAGGTTTGATATAAATATTTGCAGTATCGTAACTATAGATGGGCGTCTAAACTAAATTATTTAGACAATGTCTATAATATAAATTAATTTAGTCATTTAGACAATCATGGTCTCAATTGTCTAAAATGCTGAAATTGAATTTGTGTATATCCACATGACTTTTAGTTGTATTAATTTAGACATTTAGACATTTTTGTCTAAATACTATTTTGACTTTAGACAACCCCAAAAACAATTTAGACGTCCATCTATAATTGTAACACTACTTTAAAATTTATATTTTAACAAAAAGAACATGAAATATTCTTTTAATTAAAATTTTTCAAAAATATACAAGATATATAAATCATCAAATATCATAGAATTATTATTATCAAATATGAGAATGTCTATTTATGATAGAGATCCTTCTGATTTGAAAATTATTGATAATAGTAATCAAAATAATTTCTCTGCATTTCCTCTAAATAACAATAATGATAATTTCTTTACACTTGCTCTAACTAATAATTTTCCACAATTCGTCAACATTCTAATGGAAACTCGTTAGATCATCATAATATTCACATTATCAATATTTAAAACATGACAATATCATTACGCGGCGATTTCCATTATCACAACAACAAAAAACAAAATATTCAAACGTACCAAAATAATTCTGCCACTGCTAGTATCAAAAATACTATTGTATACGCCACGCCAGCACCACAGCTCTCGTTCCCGATGGCAATCATATGATGTCTTTAATCACCACAACTCCATTATTAAATGATCCTCCTTCTTCTTTTTCTTGTGAAAATAATAATAATATTGTTTGGATTTTGTCACGACTTGAAAAACGCATTGATCAAATCGAAACAAGTAGAAATCAAAGAACTTTTGTAAAGGACAATTTATCGCAAAATAATGCTTTGATGGCGTTCCCTATTATTTTGGTAATATTGGTAACGAAAATCTTTTAAGTAAACTTTTTATTCGTGTAGAACGTTAATCAAAATTAATTGATATTTTTGTCGAATATAATTTTATATTTATTATTATTCATTTTATTATTTTGAAGAAAGTAATCTCAGCGCATATTTTAGTATTATTATTGTCCTGGTATCCTGATGTGTTAACTATCAGTTAGTTTTTGTAATTTTAAAATAATAACAAAATATTAATAAAAAAAAAAATGACAAAGTCTCATAAAGAAAAATATATTTTCCGTTACCACCCAACTTTTTGTTCCTGATGAATTAAAAGAGGTAGGTATATGGTATATAAGAACATTTGTCTTTCAAACTTGGATCTCTTTTCTGATGCAAATCAAGTAAACCTGTTACTGTCATATATATATTATATATGGACTTTTAAAAAAATTTATTCATTATAAAATGAAAAAAATCTATAAAATTTTGAATACAAACGAAAAAACGAAAACGACTATGTCACATTCCGTCATATGATTCGACGGCGTTTCGCTAACACTTATACAATATCCGGGTTTCTATAATTTAAATGAACAGGATATCCAGATTGCTACAATTTAAACGGATAAGAATCTGGATCCAAGCTCTACAATCAATTAATCTTTTAAATGCAAAAAAAAAAAAAAACAATTGAATATATTTTTCCTTCCCGCCAGTTTCTAAATCAAACAATTGAATAAATTTTAATTCCTCGCCAGTTTCTTCATCTAACATAGATATAAACAAAAATGCAATCAAACAATTGAATAGATTGATTCTCTCATCAATTTCTTCGCCCAACATAAATCTAAACAAACAATTAAAATAAGTGCAATTTTACCATTTACCGTTCTAAATTAAAAAAAAAAATCAAGATTTCTGAAAATGAAAACAAAACATATTTTCCAACCTGTAATTTTTCGTAAAATGTCAAAATTTCCTGGGACCCTGTGCTTTTTCAGGATTTCCTAATTAAATCTTGAAAGGTACAGGTTACAGGTCACCTGTACATGCATACGTCATACCTGTCAAGATTTTTTTGCATATCATCTTGTACCGCTCACCAGTACTTTTCTGGCGGTCCATTAAATCAAGTGAAACATGCATGATGTATTGTGTGACTGAACTCTCTTTAAAGTAAAAAAGAAAATTCCACGAAGAATAGGTATATAGAAACAAGTAGTATACTGTGTGTTGCGAAAAAAATGGCACCTACATTCTAACTAATAAAAATCAGGTAATAAAAATTATATCAAAGGATCAGACAATCTTGAATTATCACATAGAAATTTTGATGTAGGCTTTAGAATAATTATTATATTAAATTTCCTTTTCCAAAAATAATTGAATTTATTTTATTTTTAATTGATAAAATTTTAGAAAATCAGGAAGCATGTGATTTTATATAAATAATCTCTAGAACTTGAGCTGCAAATTGGCCTGAATTTTTTTTTTTGTTATTATTATGTACGTTTCTGTTTAATTGATATCTTTGAGATGTCTAATACTTTTTGGTGGAAGTCAAAAAATTTAGTGAAGTCTAAAAAAAGATGCGAATCGACTTTACAAAAATGGTAATATTAATTCATATCAAATTTTTTTTATTTAACAAACTATTTGATAGGCTTTTAAATGAATGTAATTTTATCAAATTATCTTTTGTAGTTGTTGAGATATGCTATTCTTCATCAATGCCATTTTTATTGCAACACACTGTATATAGAGTAGATGAAGATATATTGTTATCTTACTTGATATTGACTTTTACGACCATCTCTCGACTCATCTACATAGTTATATAGTTGTTTCAAAAAAAAACTCCATTTTTAAATTAAAAAGTTTTTAATGTTCCAAATTGCATGTGAGTAAAACTAATATCACTTACCTTGAGAACTCATTAGCAAAAGAAGCAATTTTCTTTTGGTATTTAATAATATTATTTACTTAAAATTTATTATTACTATATATATATATATATTTTATATATTATAATATTAATCTTTTTTATTATATATAACAATTATGATTGTTGTGTTACGACAATTATTATATTTGTAATAGTACTGTCATTTACGTGGTGATGTGAGCCTTGATCAAATAATTTATTAGACAAATAACATATTTTTTATAAATTCACTAAAAATCGGTTGTTTTTATTACCTTTACAAGTCTATTCTTTTTCTCTGAAAAACTTCTCAGATGGTATCAAACTTTCCGGTATTATTAATATTATTATTGTTATTATTATATCTCCCAATTCTAATTCACCTCCATTATTACTGTTAATGCTTTCTTTATTGTTAAGTAGTGCAGATGAGCCATCTCAACCGGGTAACGTCTCCACTGAATTCTGGATTAATATTCCAGACGTAAAAATGAATGTCGAGAGAAATTTATCATCATCCTAGCCAGTTAAGTTGTTTAAATATTCCTTGGCCGGCTAACAACATCACTAGTTTTTTGGATGATCTGATCCCCAATGTTATTATGGAATTGTGCTGTTGTCAAAAAGAGTATCAAAGCCTCTCGCCCCCAGCATGCAAGGTGGAAGAAATTGCACGGTTACGAGGTATGTAATTGCATCTATTTAACTGCATGTTTGCGTAAGGAAATTTTTATTAATCTAATTCCAATGATCAAGGTTTGCGTTGAATGTGGATGTTATCCTGCATCTGTAGGTCCAAATACACCATCACCGTATGCTGACAATAATCCACACGTAATATTGAGTGTAGGATAATCAACATCGTTACAACCCTCTCCCGAGCAACTCCAACTCAATCACCAACTCAAAATAATAATCAACCACCCCAACCAAGTTCATCATCAATTCAACCACCATCGTCTGATTTACCCTCATGGACACAAAATCACTACACCTTGAACATAACGGTCAGGATGTTGTCCAATGTCAACTATACCTATGATCAATACCAGGTTTGCAGTTTTTTAAGGAACTCTACAAGTTGTATGCGAATGGGAGCAAATTCTATCCTTCATTACATCAAACACTTAAATTCCTTTCCACAAAAAAAATCCGAAGACACATGAAATCTTCTGGTTATGATTTTGCCCACATTATTTTCTTTCACTTTTTGGTAATAGCTGATTTTCGTTCTGCTTACTTTTACTAGTGTTTATTATTTTTAAATACATATGATTCGCCTTGTTATTTTTTCAAGATGCTACTGGAAGCAGGGTTGATAACCAGACTGCCCAATGTACCTGTCTTTTTAAGTGTAAATGCAACCGCATGCCAAATGCCAATTTACCTCAGTCTGACTACCACCAATCTTGCCTGACCTGATAGTATTGTAATTCTTGTACTTCATGGTGGATCTTATGTAAATAGTTAATTTCATATAAGGATCATCCCATGTATCTTTTATAAAACAGGAAAAAATGCATAGGGAATTTTTCTAAAAATCAACACAAAAAATAATATTTACTAAAATGACACAAGGCGCTCGAATGGTAAAATACTGCGACACGCAAAATTTTTTTTTGATTGGTTCTTTTACTTTTGATTATTAATGTATAAACACATGAAAAGATAATGTCGACTCAAAAAGTTTTAGGTGTGGGGCGAGGAAGAATTTGTTTATTGCTTGATTTTGTAATTGATATTTTTGATGTGCAACCAAATTTAGGAATAGTAATATATATATGAAGAACATAGATAGTAAGAATAACAGTAGTTCTATACTTTTAAAGGTCGTCCAAAAAAAAGATGTTTCGAGACCATCCTCGCCATAATATTGCGCCATTTAAAACTTGATGATTGACTATTGATTTTTAATTACACAATATAAAAAAATTTTGTCATCAATACTAATAATGGCTAATATCGCAAGTTGCTTATCAGGCCAATCTCTTCTTCTTTGAAACCGTAGAAAATGAAACATTCGAATGGTTACACTAACTTGGATGAGAATGAGGTATTTAACAAGCTTGACTTTGTTTGCGTGAATAAATAACAATTAATTTTCCCATTATTGTACTTTACATTATTTATATCAGGTATATATATATATATATAATTATTAATAATATATCAACAAAACCACTACAATGGCGTGAGATTATGGAATGAATCGTGACAGCCAACTTAACCAAACTTGTTTTAATGTCATTATTACTTGAGCACATCAATATGCCTAGACTTTGAATTTAAATCTGAAAGATAAGGATGGAACCAATAATAAATGTAAAAAAAAATTTTGTTGTCACTACAATGTCCTTTACGACAAAAAAAAACTCTATTGATAATAACAAAATCTTGGCGCCCCTTCAGACATATGATTTGGAAGTGTGAATATCTTTCCCAAAAAAGTCATTATTATTTCTTTTATAAGCAAGATATTCACGTTCCAAAAAAAATTCAGCAACACATACGAGATCGATATTTAGTGATACTTTTGAATTTTGATCAGATAAAGTGTTGATGGTTCTTTATAAAGACTCTATTTTTGGTAATAAAAATGTCCTTGATCAGAAAAATTGGCTGGGAGATAACGATCTGAAAGATGGTCCGAAAAGGTATATATAAAGAAAAATTGAAAAGATTTCTATTCTTAATTCAGAGATGAAGCCTGTT